TCTCATTATTACTTCACCACAGTGATGACAATTTCATTCTTAATTACAAAAAAAAAAAAAAAAAAAAAAAAAAAGCTTATGCCGAAAAGTAATTCAGTCTCTTGGTAAAATATGAAATAAGATAAATTAGATAATATAGATAAAATTAGATAGTGTAGATAAATTAGACTGTATGATTATGCAAAATTATGCTAGTGCTGTTTGCCTATATGGAAAAATAACATTGTTATAAGGACTATATTTATGATTATTTATTTATTATGTGTTCCGCCATTAGGCACTACATGGAAAGAGGATGCTTCATGGAAGATGTCTTAAGGGGAACTGGCTCATATGCACATTACACATGGGGAAAACCTTGAAAATGCCCATGCAGCCAGCTCGTTCGTCGGGACTCGAATCCCGGACTGGACTACCAGTGTTTCAGCAGCTTTTATCGCTCGGCCGCTGATAGGTCTTTTTTAAGGCCTTTCTGCATGAAACTGGCCCATATGTTCGTTGTACGTGTGTATGTGAAGGAAAAAACAAGAGCTTTATTTAGTTGCGGCAGAGAATAGAACTTTCGAGAACCAATGTATTATCAACTTCACCGATATGCTAGTAGGTGATATTTGATTGACCGAAGGTATGACTTGACTGTCATCAATACGGGTATAATTTCTTATAAAAAAGAAGTTGAAGCAAAATAATACATATGTATCTATATTTTAATTATTAATACATATTTTGATTATCTCCTGGAAAACAAAGAGTAAATGCTAATTTAATGAGAGTTTTTTTAAATTTAAATCATAGTAAATGCTACAAAACTCTAATTAAATACATTCCCCACATTTTGCTTTCTTGCCACAATTCGGAATTGCAAATATTTGTAAAAGAAATATAAAAAGCAAATATATAAAAATAATTATTGTTAATCTCATAAAAAGTCCTGACTTTATAAGGGGAATTAGTCGCTTTCCATAAAATCATCAGTAATTGGAATATCATCTATCGCATTTCATCTCTCTGTATTTTTGAATAAAGCTTCTATGTGAAATGCAAAAAAATATAAATTAATATAATATTAAATCTGTCATTTTCAAATATATGTATACAGATATGGAAATGTCTATATATATATACAGTTATCATATGTACATGGTATTTACCCATAGGTAAATGTATATGCTTTTATCTATGTGTGCATATAATATGCATATATCTGTTTGCATACACATGTACAATTAGTATACATGTTACACATTCACATTTCTGTTGCATATGCATGTACACCTCATTTGCATATGCTATCAATATGATTATATTACTTATGTAGAATTCTAGAGAGCAAGTTAATCATGCAAAACACAACTGAAAGTTTTTTACCCCAAGCTAACATTGCACTGTTGAGGGAAAATTAAAAGGAATTTATGAAACCCCATAGTTGTGAGGCACAAAGGTCATCAGACAAGTGGCAGTGGAAGGTTATCGCACAAGGACTTTCTCTACACCCTAAATTGTGGAAGGGAAAGAATTTCTCTGGCTGAGATTTTGGCCACAGATATCATTTTGAGACTCTGGCTTACAATTCGGTCACCCGTCTTCCAAACGTTAACAGCTGTCGAATCATTTAAATAAATTAGTAAGACATCCATTTAACAATTAAATTACATTTAATTAATAGCATAAGGATATATACAGCTGAAGGGATCAAAATTAACATTGCTGTGTTGCATACTCATGAACACACCCACAAAGAATCAAAAGACAAAACCATTCCTTCACTTCAGTGCTTTTAAACTGCTGGAAAAAAATTCATCCAATGCTTCACTTCAAATCTATTGAGACAGGCTAATTTACAACACTGTATTTTCCTACAAACTCTACTGCAAACTTCTCTAAAATATCTGCTGCTTAACATTGCTTCTTCTTATTATACTGGGCTTGCAAAGTAGACAGTCCTTAACTCTCTGACTTCTTATCCCACGATTTCTACAGGCAACATAATATAGCAAAATTTGCTCATCCTGCTACATATGTGAGCTTGCATTTTTTCATCAATTAAAAGTGTATCACACTGTTTCAATGTTTAACCTTCAGTAATATGTTTTGTGCAGTGTTTAGACTTTAAATTACCTTTTTTTCAACAGATGGAATTCATTATCCCCAAAATTTCATGTATTTGTGTAAAGTTTCTGAATTGGTATGCAGATGTCAAATACGGAATAAAAAATGCACAATTTTGAAGTGATCATGTTAAAAAAAGTGAACAGTCAGAGAGTTAAAGGAAGATACTGTAGTTAGCTTTTGTGTTATGACTTTTCTATATGTCATTACCTGAATAATTCTGTGAAAGGAACTTCCTGTCAGGCAGTGACATAAAAATGACTTTATCAGACTTTTTTTTTTTTTTTTTGTTGTTGTTCCTTAGGCAGACTTCATCCAAAATAATTTTCTTTCAGCTTATTTGTTAAAAATGTTACAAAACATCTTCCTTTATGCTAGAATAGCTAGCATTTATGAGGCAAAGTTATAACCACCAATGCCATTTAAAAATTAGTTTTTAAACCTTTCAAAATGTTTGTTAACCCTGTGAATGGCACTCCTTTTTGGATCTGTTCTTGAGGAGAAGACCTGGATTTATAAAGCATTTATTTGCTAAATTTGTATAAGTGCTTAGTTTAGTCTTAATTTTCATAAGCTTCAATTCATTAAGATGATATATACATCATTTAAGAAAATAAGAAAACTAAATATTTTAAATTATCTGCTAATATATACAAAGTGACAAAAAATCTCATGACCACATGAAGGTGGTTATGTTGCTCATAGTTAAATTCTTTAAGATAATTTTTTTTGTTAAAAAAGTAAGCTGACCTCTGTCATTCAAAAATGATTTGCGCTACAGAAAAATGTGTTAAATCTCCAAATTCAACATGTGGAATAGAAATTGGCACTTAAATTCGCCACAAAAATTACTTTTTTTTTTTTGGCACAGTGCAACCTCAAATATATGTTAGCACTGGTTTAAATATAAATATTAATGTACATGCATCTTATCTGCAGTTTGCATTTTATGCAGTTTTGGACATTTTCCTCATACCATAATCTTGCATGAAAAGCCTCTTAGCTTGTACCAGGTTATTATTTTTTTTTATTTATTATTATTTTTTTAGTACTCCCAGTTATGCGTTAAAAAAATTTTGGATTAATTTATGTGCACAATTTTCTGATTGTCAACCCTTTTTTTATTATTTGCGTAAGTTGAATGTAATTCATTAATAGTTGTTGCCTGTAGGTTTTCATTGAAATTCATTGCATTTACCTATGGCAGATTTGTAAATGTTCCATACGTTTATAGCTGCAAGATCTAATGCCATAAACTGTACAAACTAGTCATAGTATTAATGTAGCTTTTATATTATGGTTATGATTAGTCCATTTCAGTACCTTTTCTTTATGGTATCTTAAGATTCATAGCCATTTCATGGTCATCTGTATCACATTTGATTTTATCATTCAGACTTGTTCATAATGAGATGGAACTATGCATAGTAAGTGTGATGATGCCTGTTGTTCACTTTTATGCTCTCAGCAATTCAGTATCTAAAATGCATTCAGTATCTGAAATCACATTAAAAGCATTACAGATTACCTCAAACTTTGATTTTAACACACTTCCTTCATTAGAAAAATGAGAAAATATCCAATTTCAGTAATGATTCGGACATTCCGAATTTTGTTGCAGTATAATCCCATTAGATGTGTGAAGTGCGGGCAACAACATCGAAGCAATCAATGCACCATGAAACCCGAAGATAAGCCAAAATGTATTTTCTGTGGCCTCTGTCACATGAGCAGCTATAGAGGTTGCAGCAAGTATAAGAAAAGATTTCAAAAGAAAAGCAACCCACCCCAGCCTAAAGTTCCCGAACTCTCTGAGGAAAACTTTCCTAGCTCAAAGACTGCCTCGATCCCAGCGCAGAAAAATCCCCTCCAAGCCACTTACAGCGAGAAATTGGGGGAAAAATCACCCTGCCATCGAAAGACTTAAACGATGCTATTAAATAGATTCAAGATGAAAAAAGTTAATGCTTTCCTAATGTCGATCATCTCATGCATTGCCAAAATCAGAGCAGCAAAGAATCCAGCAGAAAAGTTACAAACAGGCATTCAAGCAGTTACGTTACTTATTTCGCTGAGTGTGAAGATTAGATAGTGATTTAACACTCCCTCTATAATGGACCAATAGGAACACAGGAAACTCACGCAGCTATTTTTGGAACTTATTTTTTTCAATTTTCCGCATTCTACCTTCTTCAACTAGCGCAGCTTTGCTGTCTGTTAGTCGGAGTACCTCCTGAAGGTGTTATGCACAAGTCTCATCTCATCGCAACATTGAGAATCCTATTTCTAGAATTCTCAGTCAACATTCCCTAATGTAATGTTTGGAAAGTTATGTCATTTCTCCATGCGTTACACACGGGATGTGGCTTTTAGCCTAGGCGCCTGTTCTCCATGTACTTCGCACCAGAGCCTTCAATCAATGACTTTTTCTTTAGATCCACAGGTTAAATTTATGCTTTAAATCATTGACATCCTATTATCACCACATCTCTTTTTTGATAAGAGTATCTGCATATTTTAAGAGATTCAATGTTGTGCTTAAAAATATATATTATTATTTTTTATTTTTCCCCATTTAAACTTTAGATGATAATTCCTACTTTTAGAAGTCTGACATAATTTTGTCATCTTTCATACAATCCGTACCACAAATTGCTTATCAGTATAGTTTGAGATGTTAAATAACTATATTATCCATATGCTTCATCAAAACATGCATAGATAATCAGTAGTTAGGTTTCCCTTTTATGTGTTCCTTTTCTGCATGTCACAGTGATTTATTATAATTAAGGGTGTGAAATGAAATGGGAAAAATTGTTCCAAGTTTATCAGTATGTGTTTTGAAATATTCACATGAAAGTATTTATACAACTATTTTATCTCTTCCTTAGGATGCTCATGATGGAGAAGTAAATGCTGTGGCATGGACCCATACAGGTTTTAAATTTGCCACTGCTGGTGGGGACCGGAAAGTAAAACTTTGGGATATTGTGTCTGGTATTGTGAATTTATCTTCTCTATGTTTTAACTTTTTATCTACTGATTTATTTAGTAAATACCATAATAACTACTATATTATTTTTTAATTAATTCATATTATGTCAATTCTGTACCGACTTTTTTGATGCTGTTGATAGCAAGCCTTTCAAGCTTATTTCCCATCTGCTAATAGCTGTGTGTCAATTTTTTTTTTAGAAATCTTTAAATGATTATTCTGAAATGTAAGTAATATCCTGACATTTGTTAAGATATACAAATTACAGCCTTTGTATATAATAACCACAATTCTGTTAAGAAGTACAGGAAAAATGTGTAAGCTCTCATAGTATGGGATGCATACCAGGTAGTTTGTTTATCTCAGTTCTGTGCCTTCTCTTTAGTATAAAAAAGTCTGTTTTTTAAAAATTATCTAGCTGTAAATTAGCTGGTTAACAGATAATACATATTGATTTCTGCTTAAGCAATCTTATACATTGAAATTTTGTGGATACCTGAAAATCTCTATTTTATACTCAATCTGTAGTATCATTTATTTAGTTTTTTAACCTTCTGAGTGACATGGCTTTTTGGATACAACCATGAAAACTGTACTTAAGTAGCTTCTACTAAGTAAATTTGTTTTACTTATTTCAGTCTGTTTCCATAATCATTTATCTGTTAAGATGATATTTAGATCATTAAATAAAGGAAAAAGTAAAAAAATTAAATTATGAACTAGAATATAGAAAGTAACTATATATATATATATATATAAACAGTATTGCCACTCTGAGGGTTAATGCTTTGAAATGTTTTAATTTTTGTTTTGAATCAGTTGAAATCATTAAATAGTTTGGGATACAATGAATCTCTTAAAAGTCCTAGCAAACACCACATGGGGTACAGACTGTTGCTCTAAACATGATTACAGCTCAGTTGTTTATGATTCTGCACAGGCTTCCATATTACTGAAACTGGATCCTGTTCATTATCAGGCTGTGTGTATTTGTTCCGGTGCATTTTAAACATCACCAGTCCGAAGTCTGTGTGTTGATTGTTATGAGCTATTACTTCATATAAAGTGTGAGCAGTTGTCTCTTAGCTGTTACTTGAATGTATTGTCTCTTCCTGACCATCCTAATCAGGTTTCTTTGCTTGATGACAGGTACAAATCCTTGTTTCAGGTCCTGCCGTCATATGTACCTTTTGTAACATTTAATAATTTGTAAATGGTAACATTTAATATTTAGTAACTTGTAATTGGCAACACTTTGAATACAGATATGAAAATAGAACTATGCTGGTATTGCAGTTCTCTGTGATTATACATTCTAAGATTGTAAATAAATAGTTTCTAAAAGCTAAAAGTGTACCGTGTACCCTCATAATAATATACCTTTTTGTCTTTTAGTGTTTGTTCACTTACTCACTGAGAAATATCACATGATAGATTTTAAGTACCCAGGTTGTAAAGCATTTTGAAATCTTACCTTGGGAGGGTGTTCCTATTTAGCTTCTTGATATTTTCCAATATCTTTTCAAAAGAGATACTGATAGGTTTGTATATAGACAACTTTCTCTTGAACATTGGTATAAATGCATCAATTGCATTTGAGGAGATGTTAGTGCATCATTTGTTGTTGAAGACCTTGTGTAAGGGTAGAGGACAACATCATGCCTGCTCTCTCCTCACCTCAGAATTAACTGCTGTATATTATGTGCTTTCATTTATTTCTAAGCTTAAGAAGATTCATAATCTATAGGTGCTAATTTAACCCTCTCAGCGTTAAGACCGGAAAATTCCGTACAGAAGTTTGCCTTCCACATTCATTATACTACATGAAAATTTGTGCTAGCTTTTAATGTATCCGATTTCAGTTTGGATGTATATTGGAAGAAAAGGAATCAAGGTACAAAATGAGTCATTTTTTAATTAAAATCAAGAAAATATCACTTATTCGTGACATTTTGAGGAACTTTGAAATTTCAGAGTTAAACCCATAACGCTCTGAGGGTTAAGTGCATTAAAATCTTTGAAATCATATTCCAGTACTCAGAATCCCATCATTCTTGTTATCTTAAGTTTGAATCTAACGTTAAAGAGCCTTATTCAGACCAAAAGGTGAAAGCTAGGAAGCTATTAGAAACCAGAATGAGGATATATTTTTAACCTGCCTTAGAATTGGTCACACATGACTTATCAAAACCGGAGAATAAACTCATTTGCCCCAGCTGTAGTGCTGTTATGTCAGTGCATTGTTTTTAATAAAATGTCTGTATTTTAAGACTTTGATGGAAACATTTTAATGAGTATAACTTGCCTTTTAATCAAAATAACTGGGAATGGGGGTAAATAATGCCAAAATTATTTCAGTACCTGAAAGAGACAGGCCTTTATCATTTAATTTGCTTTCTTTTGAAGTTTCTGCTTGGTGTTTTAATAATGTTTGCCTATTTTAATATATCTCATTCTTGTTGTTTTTAGTCTTGTTTTTCCATTTGAGATCATTATCTGAATTTTATCTGGTTGTTCATTTCAGCATTCATCATTTTATCAGTGCTTTTAAATGTATGGTTTTCCTCTGTGGTTTTAATTTATGTTTGTCTATAACTTGTGTGTTTACCTAATTAGTGTTTGGAAATGCCTGACATGTGTTTGTGGCATATAAAGCTTTAAAGTTTTGTGCCAGAAAACCCACAATTATAACTACCACCACTACTAGCAAGTAGAAATTTAGTATGTAGCCTACTTTTCTCCAACATTATGCTCAGGACTTCTGGTTTTCTATTTAAGTAGTAAACAGGTGAATTTCAAATTACCTGTTAAAATTGTTGGCATTGTGATTTAATGATGCTTTTCTTTACTGCAGAATAGTATGTTTAAAATATGTGCAACCAACATTAAAAAATGATGAACCATTTTGAAAAAGATGTAGTAAACTAGCTGAAATGCTTATCTCTTGATCCCATTAGTAAAAGTTTTTATTTTCCATTCCTTGTGCAGAATAGAAGATTCTTTCTGTCTGCAAAGATTACTTTCCAGCAGCTAAGGATGATACTGAACCCTGTGTATAATGTAAAATGCATGTTGATCTGCATAAAAATAAAATGGTTTGATTGATAACTTACACAAAAATGTTATACAAATAAAACAAGGTAATAATACAACGTTCATCATACTGTAAATTTATGGAGTATCGTCTACTGTGTAGACATGTATGGTACAAGAGAGCTGGGGGGGGGAATCATATTTTCCTGCCAATACCTATAAGCAGTGAAGCATCATTTCAGATTTTACAAGTGCATGTTGAATTTGTTCCTAGGATTGACATACCTGACAGCATTGGGCTTATTCACCCTGTTGTATTTTACATTATAGCTTTTTCTTACTTACTACTGTAAATATTCAATTACTTGCAATATTACTTGCAACTGTAAATATTTAATTGCTTTTGTTTACAAAATAACAATTTTGGTTGTAGTAAACCTTGGATACAAATTATTTTTTTAACATATATTTACTATTTTTGTGTTTGAAATACAGTGAAATTGCAGAACACTCGTAGTTTGATCTCTATGTTCAGATCCCGGTAAACTAGCTGACTGCCTTAGAATTTTTTTTTAAAATCCTCTACAAAGGCATCTCTTCATTCAGATAAATAGCTTTTGTGTGCTTGACTATAATCTAAGTAATCCAGTCCAATCCAGAAACCAAAGAAATTTTTCAAAGCACCGAAATATTTAGTTTTCTTTTTAACATCCTCAACTATATGATAACTTATTACATTAAAATTACAAGTGCTAAAATAATTTGCTGCATTTGTGTGTCTTTTGGTCAGCCTAGTGCTTTAATATTGCCTGCTCAAAATAATTCGAGGTAACAGAATGAACAGAAGAAAAAGAAACATCAATTAGTTTAATTTCTTGCAAAATGTGTTCTTGAATTACAGGTAGTTAATGGAATGATAATATTTTCTTATGATCCGTCATTGGGACACAGTGCAGAAAATGTTTAACATTTAAAGTGCATATATTTATTGCAAAGGAATTATTATTGTCATGAGTTTAAAAAAAAAGTAGCCTTTAAATGACACTGTGAAAAGGTTTTGTGTAAGTGGTCTAACCAAATAATGAAGATTTCCAGTTAAAACTACACTTTTTGCAAGTACACTGCTAAAAAAAAAAAAAAAAAAAAAAAAAAAAAAAAAAAAAAAAAAAAGGACAGTGCTATATCTCTCGTTCTACTGGGCCGATTGACAAAATTCAAACTGCGTTTTTCATGTCTTGAAAGCACGACTTAGGACATATATTAGATTTATATATAGCACTATTCTAACATAGGTATTTTGACACAAAATTGGACTTTTCTGAAATAACATACAGTTTTTTCCATATATTTCGATTCTATGGCAAATTATGCCAGAATGCCAAGTTTTGTAAAATCGTATGAGGTTTTTAAAATATTAGCTCTCAAATTTTTAGCTTCTCATGTTATTGAATTTGGCAAATATTTATTAATATCTCTTTTTTTATTAAACTTTTTTGATTTTTCCTTTCACATTTCGAAATTTAGGTTCATTCCAAATAAAATTTACTGATTTGTTGTTTTTATTTTTTAAATTTCTATTTTTAAAATTTTTTATAAATTTTTTCGAAAAAAGTTTTGAATTATAACCATAAAAGTTTTACCATCATCTTAAATAGGTGTATTTTCTAAGCATACCTGCAAAAAAATTAGACTTTTTTATTCAAAGTTTTCTAAAGATATTACGAATTTACATATTTTCACATTTTGAAATTTGGCATCTTTTTTTTTTTGAGCGATAATAATGCCAAATGCGGTTTATGGATTTTGTTACAGTGAATTGCAATAGCTATTTTTAACCTTAAATTTCAAATAAAATTTTACCGAGAATGAATTATATGAAATTTTTTGCCTCAATGATGCGTAATAAATGTTTATTAATACTATATGAAAAGCTATTTTTTTTAAATTATAGATGATATTATTCAAATTT